GCAATCTTGTGCCTACGTATCTTATATCCAAGAATGAATAAAGAATCAAAGCGTCCGTAGTTCGTGGAGACGACCACGAAAAATACGAGGTTGAATAGGTTGGAAGTTTGAGAAAGAGACGAAAGAGTGACTGACAAGCAACCCAAGAGCACGCCTCAAGAGCTTGTCACTCAAGAATTCAAGGAATGCGAGATTCCAAGAACTCAGTTCTTTCGGGAATTGACTGAATAAGTTGAAGATAAAGAGTTGGATGTTTTGAAACCGAAAGAATGAACTAATAACAACTCGGGGCACACCCAAGAGTTACTCATTCGAGTATTCAAAGAATGCTAGATTCTAGGAATATCCCTCTTTCGTAAGTTTAAAAAACGCTTGTAAGAAGATTGAGTCGGAAATGGAACGCGAGGCCAAATGAGGTTGGTTTGGAAACGGCTCGACGACGTGTCGAGGATTTGTTTGAAAATAGAATTGCCTTGACGATGTGTCAAGGGTTAAAAGGTGAGAAACGATATTAGTCCTTAAGGGTGCCCCCAATATCGAAACCACGAGGAGTTGTGGGGTGTGTGCGAAATGTGGATGGCGCATGCGAACGAGCACTCGACTTAGGAGAACGCTTGAAAATGTTTGAAAAAGTCGAAAGATTGAATGAATAACAACCTAAGGGCGAGCCTTAAGAGCTATTCACTCGAAAATCTGAGGAATGCTATATTACAAGAACTTTCTTCTTTCGAAGTTTGATCGAGAAAATGTTGAGAAAATGTTTTGAAATAAATTGAATTGAAATAAGGTATGAAGAGAAATTGTGTGTGTGAGAATGTGAGGTTAGATTTGAAAATAATTTTGGGAGAAATGACGATTATTTGGTAAATGAGACGCCGGTCCCACAACCAATTAATCGGGGTGTTATTTGGATGCTAGATCCTAACGACACCTTCTTCATTTGGAAAACGTTTGGATGATCAATGGAAATATCACATTGATGCTGGATTCCTACGATATTTCTTTGTCCAAAAAGAGTTTACTTAAAAAATGAAACGTCGAACGATACGTTACTTAAGGCGTACGCCTCAATAATGATCGTCCAAAAACCCAAGAAATGCTAGACTTCAAGAATTTAGTTTTTTCGTGATTTGATTAAGAAAATTTTTAGCATAAAAGAAATAATTTGGATAAAAAACTCCATGAGGACTAAGAAGGCAAAATATTAAAATTGAAACTATCCTTCTTAAACAAATAATTAGCACATGATTAAATGTTATTTAAAATAGAAAAGAATTCTTAAAAAAAGATAGTAAGATGATTAATCTTTAATCAAGTATTTAACTTTAAGATATATAAAATAATTAATTCTCTTTCTTTTTAACTAACCTAAATCTTAAAAAAAAATATACATTAAAGAACAATGAATTTAACAATTAAAAAAAATAAAAAAAAATAAAGCTATCCTCTCTTTTCTTAAAGCAATCCACCAAACCCCTTCATTGGTCATCAATGCTTTATATAAGCCAAAACCTCGGGCAGTGCATACAATAGCCATAATTAATTATCTTACTCCTAAAAAGAACCACATACTTAAGTTAAAAGTAAAAACAAAATTGCAGCAACATTCATCGGCAAATACGAAGGAGAGGCGAACCCTTTTCGAACCCCTTCTCCACTTCATAACCACAACTGCGACATACAAATCAGCACAAAAAAAACAATGTAACCATCTTGCAAACTCAACACACCATATTGGTATACGCATCCTTTTTACAGTATTCGCAAACCAAACTCAACATAAATAATAATAAATTTGAAGATGCAAATACCTAAAAAACCAACAAAAGCAGCAAACGAAAATTGCTCTTATTATAGGGGTAAAAATGAGTTCTGCAAAAACATGATCTAAGGATTCAAACCCTATCATCGACTTCGGCATGTTGTCGCGGCGAAACAAACATCAACCTATTCACAAAAACAATTGGTACAATATAAACAAACTAAAGAACCTGAAAACCTATCATATATACTACATGATTTGGACAGAATCTGCATATCAGAACGTAATTATTTTTTCCGGAGTTATATACAGCACAACACAAATCTGACATACACAATCTTATCTTAAATCAGGCTAGCTAATTAAGAATTGGATCAAAGTGTTACTAATGTCGAAAAAAGGCGACGAAACCGACTCGAGACTCAAATCATTGTACAGACAGCACGAGCATAATACCCCTTCAACTGAAATGGTTCGAAGATTACCGCCAAGTTGCTTTCCTCCAAATCAAGAATATGGTGCCGTTGTGCCGCAAAAGCTATTGGTGTGGCAGCTGCTCGAATCGAAACAATGCAAAATCCCCTCGGTTATTGTCGTTTGATTGGTGCCAAACCTGATTGCTTTCAGCCGCAAACATACGGGCATCCAAAGGGATGACAATGCAGTTGGAGCTGGCTTGACTTTACAGTTGCTTCCGCAACATTCAGACCTGGAATTTTGCCGCTACTAACTGAAGATGTCGCATCCTAGTTTATCTGAGCCGCAAACCGTTGTAGCTTCCGTTGTTATCATCTCGCCTAGAGTCATGACGATGTTGTTGTGGTTACTGTTGTTCCATATACTTTGGCTTTATATGATTGTTGTCGAAATTCGACGAAGCCGCAACCTGCATAAAAAATCACTAGCCAAAATACAACAATAGGAAGTAAACTCAAATGGAATGAAACCGCAAAAATGAATTGATAAAGTAATCTCGAACTGCTGCTAAGTTTGGTTTTTTGCTGTCATGGCCACAAAATCCATATCACGGTTGTAGAGCTCAAAACGCCGGATGCAGCTGTGGATGTGAATCAGTGTCTTCGTCATTTTTGACATCGTACCAACGTTGGTGTCGCAGGCATCACTTATGGTAGGATTTGGTGACGTCCTGGCAAAAACTTAAGGATTCACAACTTGAAATCTGAGACACTCAAACAGAATCACTGCGCTTTTCTTTCTCAGTACCGCTAGCATGCTATCGACGTTGTCGTTGCGTTGTGGTAGTTGCGAGGAGTGCCTTCCCTCTTGGATTTCTGATATGAGCGGTGCCACATTGTTTCAGCTCTGACTGTAACGGTGTCGGCGCCGAGAACCAATCTGCATCACCTGAACAAATAACAACAACCTCACGGTGACTTCGCACCGATAACCAGCCATAAAAACAATATCCAAAACAGCTTTCTAAACAAAACTCTCATTTGTAAACATTGCTGAATAAATAAACAGAATGGAATTAGTGAAAACGAAATCCATATAACAGAATCGAATTGAAGATGCGAATGGATTTATGTTGCTATCAACTGAAACGGGGGTGTTTGCCCTGAGGAAGCAGAAACGTTGTCGTCATTGTTGATGGAATAGATGGGCACATCTTCAACATGAAAGCGCCACAACAGAAACCAACTTGAATCCGAATCTTGTATTAAAACCCACACCTACATACAGAACAAGCCACAGACAACAACACATAACACAAGCTCTTAGGGAAACAATAACAGATAAAAACAGAGTTGGATCGAAAACATGAATGATATCACCATCTCGCCGCTGCTACACCGTTCAATTTTACTATCGCACAATTTGAAACTTGGTAATACTGTAACACCCAGATTACAAACAACTTATTCTCTCAGTATAAGCCATTTTTATTAATGCGAATCAAACAATCACAGCAAACCTCCAGGCAGTGTCAGAATCACTCTAGTCAATACATAACAAATAATTAAACCAAAACAAGCGAGGATCGGTAGAACAACTAATCCTGTGAAAAGATTCATAAATCACATCCAAACAGAATCAAAGTTAATGAATAACATAAACTGACAATAACTATAACAACTCCTAATATGCACATGAGACGTGAATATGCATCTTAATTCAATCAAAGTTAAAGTGAAGACTGAACAACAACACAATAATTGATAGTCAAGAAAATTCGAAACCAATACCGAATACGCGCTTACTGCAGCTGAGCCCAAGTCGCTGTTGTCCTAGTGACTCGTAGGTTTTGTTGTGGCGTTCAAGATAGCAGCGACGACAGAAGATCACTTACTCGGAGCAGAAATAGCGAGCGAGTGGAGGTTATGGTCATGAAGGCGTCCAATCTTTTCCTTTCCGCGAAAACATTCGTTGCCTGGGTTAAGAGATGAATGGAGGATCGGATGGTGATGAGAAAGGTTTACTTTTAGATGATTGAGGATGGTGAGCGGCTATTCAATTAGGGATGAGGGATTTGGGGTTTTAGATGCGGAAGGGTTTGCCGAAAGAGGGGTGCGCCGTGATGAATGAAAGAGGAAGATGACGGCTCTTTCGATGATGAAGGGACGACACCGATTTAGGGTTCTGGGGGCTGCGCCGATTTAGGGTTAGAATGGAAGGATGAACAATGATTCCCTCCCCTCTTCCATCGGTCCTCTTCTTCTTAAATCGCGCCCAAGGCCAACCCTAATGGGCTGCTTGAAAATGGGCCTCCTCAACTCGTTCTCTTTTTCTTACATTTCCTTTCAAATGTTTTATCAACATTAGAAACTAAATAATAATATTAATTAACATAACTTTTAATAAATAAAACATTAACAAAACAATTAAATATTAACAAATGCTAAAAAAGAACAAAAATAAAATATTAATTACTTAAAAAAAATTTTAGTTATATTTTAAAAAAAGAGAAAAAGTTTAAAAAACCGAGAAAAAATTAAAATTCACAAAAAAGGTTCTTAGGCCACGTGTCACACCTTAATTGGTTAAAAAAGAATAAATTTAAAAAAATGCTCAATTACGGGTGGATACGTGTCTAAACGACATGAAATAATAAATGCGAAAATATATACAAAAGGGTAGGACAAATTTAGGGTATGACAGTAAGGTGTTTGATGAATTGTGTCATAGAGGGACTTGTGATTTGGTGTCGTGGAATTCGATTGTGTCAGCTTATTCGCATTGTTTTGTTCCGAAAGTTGCAGTTTCGCTTTTTCGTGAAATGACGGTGAGTTATGGGTTGATGCTGGATGCTGTTGGTGTTGTTAATATACTTCCTATTTGTGGTTTTCTTGGTTTGGGGTTACTTGGGAAACAGGTTCATGGTTTCGGTGTTAGAACTGGATTGGTTGATGATGTCTTTGTTGGAAATGCTTTGGTTGATATGTATGCAAAATGTGGGAAAATGGCGGATGCTAATAAGGTTTTTGAGAGGATGGGATTTAAGGATGTTGTTACTTAGAATGCTATGGTTACCGGGTATTCTCAAACTGGTTGATTTGAGGATGCACTTTCTTTGTTTGGGAAAATGAGGGAAGAGAAATTTGAGTTGGATGTTGTTACATGGAGTTCTGTTATTTCTGGGTATGCTCAGAAAGGGTTTGGCTGTGAAGCAATGGATGTGTTTAGGGAAATGTGTGGATGTGGTTGTCGTCCTAATATGGTTACTCTAGTTTCGTTGCTTTCTGGTTGTGCGTCTATTGGAGCATTGCTTCATGGAAAAGAAACTCACTGTTATGCCGTTAAATTTATTCTCAAGGGGGGTGATTATGATGATGATGATTTGATGGTGATTAATGCTTTAATTGATATGTATGCTAAGTGCCGGAGTTTAAAAGTGGCTCGTGCAATGTTTGATGAAATATGTCCTGAAGATAGGGATGTGGTGACTTGGAATGTGATGATTGGAGGATATGCCCAGCATGGTGATGCCAATCATGCCCTGCAGCTTTTCTCTGAAATGTTTAAAATTAATAATTGTATAGTTCTTAATGATTTTACTATATTGATAACACGAAATCATATAGATATTTTCATGCATAATTCGACTAAAAGCTAACCGTTTTCGATCCGATTTCGGGTTATTTCCATGTATTTGTCTGATGTTTTTGCAGGTATTCAACGATCACGTCTAAACAAGGCAACATGAAGAAAAGAAGCAATCCCAGATGAAATATGGACGAAAAAGGAGTGAAAACACAATGAAAAGCGCAGCAGACAGTTTTTGCTGATGTGACGACCGTCACAGATGCATGACGACCGTCACACGGGTGACGACCGTCACACCTTGTGACGACCGTCATGCAGGCAAAAACGCCCCACTCAGATTACACGTTAAAAGAGCAGTTCCAATTCCCATTTAATGGTCCACTACTCCCTAAATTATCTGCCTCAAGGTCCATCATCCTCAGAGGTAACCGTTGGAATCCCACCTCTATAAAAAGGGAAGCAGGGGACTTCAAAAAGGGAGCTGCATTCATACCACGAAGTGCTGCCCAAATTTATTTTCAAGAGCAAATTTAATTTCCAGCCTTTTTATTATTTGTATCCATTTCTCCAGTTTCAATTGTATCCCTTTCCTTTATTTCCCTTGTAAGAGCACAGATTGTGTCTTAGTAATATCTCTATGTTTTGATGATAACATTAATGATAATTTGTATACAAGAATTATACTCTCTAAATTTGTTCTAAACTGTTTTCTACAGGCACAAAAGATTTTAATCTTAAAGAGCAAATTTGATGTGAACAATAAATTCTGAATGGCTCAAGAGCATCTGAAGATTAGAAGAATCTGAAGTATAAGAGCTTAATCATCAAGATTCTGAAGATACAACACGCTGCATATATTATCAAGAATCTGAATGAAAGAAGACTCTGAGTGAAGAGACTCTGAATGAGAGAAGACTCTGATCTGAGTGAAGAGACTCTGAATGAGAGAAGACTCTGATCTGAGTGAAGAGACTCTGAATGAGAGAAGACTCTGATCTGAGTGAAGACTCTGATCTAAGAGCATATTACGCTTCAAGCACACAGCTGCACCAGACTCTGATTCACCAACATCTGAAGAACATCTTAGGCTCTGAAGTTTCCAGAAGATTCTGAAGACTGAAGACTCTGATATTGATTGTTGATCTGAACTATCTGAAGAATTATTTGAAGAAGATTATTTTAATATATCCGTTGGAATATGCCAGCAAATCTTTCCTGAATTGGGATAGACATAAATCTCTGCAAGAAGATTATTCCTCTGATACATTCCATATATGGTAAATTCACAGCTCAGCAGACAATTGCTACACCCACTATTTGTGCGCCGTCTCTCTGCTGCAATAGTACAAAGGACTGTACCTTTTTGATATTGGAAATATCTTCTCCAACGGTAAAATATTCTCTCCAATATTCAAGTGGCTATATAAAGGAAATCATAGCTCATTCTTCAAGTGACGAAATTATTGCAAGAACACTCTCACGCGAAAAACTCTCAAGCTCTCACATTCTTTGCTGTTCATACACTGTTCTAAACTTAGAGAAATAACACAGTTGTGTTTATAGCTTTCATAGAAGCAATTTATTACTCTTACATTGTATTACATTAATTTGTAAAGGAAGTTTTCCTTAAGAGGATCTAGGTTAGATCAGTAGCTCTTGAGAAGACTAAGAACAGTTGTTCTTAGGTGTTGTTTTCCTTAAGAGGATCTAGGTTAGATCAGTAGCTCTTGAGAAGACTAAGAACAGTTGTTCTTAGGTGTTGCTATTTGTAATCAGTTGATTTGAATAGTGGATTAAGTCCTTGTTGAGAAAGGCAAATCACTCTTGAAAAGGGTGGACTGGAGTAGTTGAGTTCAACGAACCAGGATAAAAATACTTGAGTTTTTATCTTAGATTATTTTCTGTCATACTTATTCAACCCCCCCTTCTAAGTATTTTCTCACCTTCAGTTGGCATCAGAGCTCCGGTTCTGCGTGTGCATTCACTTAACCGTGACAGATAAAGATCCAGTGAGAAGAATACTCTGTTATTTATTTGGTTGCTAATATGGGTGATATTCCTACATCAAGCAACAAATATGAAGGAGACAGAATCAGCACCAAACCTCCAATGTTTGATGGAGAAAAATTTGATTATTGGAAAGATAGACTTGAAAGTTTTTTCTTGGGGTATGATGCTGATCTCTGGGATTTAGTCATTGATGGATATGAACATCCTACTAAGGATGGCAAAAAGATTGATAGAAAATCAATGACTGAGGAGCAGAAGAAAGAATTCAAGAATCATCACAAAGCCAGAACCATACTTCTTAATGCAATCTCTCATACAGAGTATGAGAAGATTACCAACAGAGACACTGCTCATGTTATGTTTGAGTCTCTCAAAATGACTCATGAGGGAAACTCTCAGGTGAAAGAAACAAAGGCTCTGGCGCTGATACAGAAGTATGAAGCGTTCAAGATGGAAGAATCTGAGAACATTGAGACTATGTTTTCCAGATTTCAGATTCTAACAGCTGGGTTGAAAGTTCTGGACAAGGGCTACTCAACATCTGATCATGTCAAGAAGATCATCAGAAGTCTTCCTACCAGATGGAGACCTATGGTGACTGCATTGAAGCTGGCCAAGGATCTGAACAAAATCTCATTAGAAGAACTCATCAGTTCTTTGAGAAGTCATGAGATTGAGCTGGAGGAAGATGAACCCCAGAAGAAAGATAAAGGTAAATCCTTAGCTTTTAAATCTAACAAATCTGTTAAAGCTTTGCAGGTAAATGAAGAAAGCTCTGAGGAATCTTCTTCTGAAGAAGAAGATGAACTATCCATGCTGTCCAGAAGGATCAACAAACTCTGGAAGCACAAAGGGAAGAAGTTCAACAACTTCAGAAGATCTGATCAAAAGAGAGAATCTTCTGGACACAGAAGATCTGGCAAGAAAGAGGGCACTTGCTATGAATGTAAAGAACCTGGACACTACAAGAGTGAATGTCCCAAACTTCAAAAGGAAAAACCCAAAAGGAAGTTTGATAAAAAGAAAAAGGTTCTGATGGCTACATGGGATGACTCAGATGAATCTGAATCATCTTCTGAATCTGAGGAAGAATGTGCAAATGTTGCGCTGATGGCCAACACAAATGATCAAGATGAAGGAACGTCATCATCTGAATCTGAGTCAGAATCAGACTCTGACTCTGAAGAGGTATTTTCTGAACTCTCCAGAGCTGAACTTGTTGAAAGTTTATCTGACATGTTGGAAAGCTACAGCAAGATTAAACTCAAATACAAGAAGCTGAAAAGCAATCTTGAATCTGAGATTGATCTTCTGAGAACAGAACTTGTTGAGCAGAAAGAAATAAATTTAAAACTCAAAAATGATTTAGAAACAACTCAACAAGAATCTGATACTGAAACAGAGTCAAGTGAAAATATTTTAGAAAAATATGACTCCAGTTTTAAAAGATTCCTCACTAAAAGCATAGACAGAAGCAAAATGGCTTCTATGATCTATGGTGTTAGTGGGAACAACAGAAGAGGCATTGGATGTGAATCTTCCTCTGGAAGCAATCCAAAATCTGTTGATAAACTCTTCATCAAGAAGACTCCTCTGTATTCTCATTTTAAGTTTGGTCATCTGAATGATATTAAACATACAAGCTCTGAAAAGAGTACTTATGTGTTTAAGCCAAGGGCTAGCCAGAATAAACACTATGTTGAAAAACAGAAGTTTAGGCAAAACCACAGAACATCTAACCCCAAAGGACCCAAGAAGATCTGGGTACCTAAAAGTAAAATAATACCTGTTGCAGATGTTCTTAGCAGCAAAATCCAGACACCAATCATGGTACCTGGACTCTGGATGCTCACGACATATGACGGGCGAAAGGTCTATGTTCCAAAGCCTGGAACTTAGATCTGGAGGGGACGTGAAATTTGGAGGGAACCAGAAGGGCAAGATCATTGGCTCTGGTACAATAGGTAATGGTAACCTACCCTCTATTTCTAATGTTCTGTTAGTTGAAGGATTGAAACATAATCTATTGTCCATAAGTCAATTAAGTGACAATGGTTATGATATCATCTTTAATCAAAAATGTTGCAAAGCTGTATGTCAAAAGAATGGTTCAATCCTATTCAGTGGAAAGAGGAAAAACAACATTTACAAAATTAATCTTTCAGAACTTAAAGTTCAAAATGTAAAATGCCTTTTATCTGTGAATGATGAGCAATGGGTCTGGCATAGAAGATTGGGACATATTAATATGAGACGTATATCTCAGATTAATAAACTCAATCTGGTCAGAGGACACCCTAATCTGAAGTTCAATTCAGATGCTCTGTGTGGCGCATGTCAAAAGGGTAAATTTTCAAAATCTCATTTTAAACCAAAAAATGTTGTTTCCACTTCTAGACCATTGGAATTACTTCATATTGATCTGTTTGGACCAGTGAAAACTGCATCCATCAGAGGCAAGAA